TGTGGACAACATTGCCCATGCCTGCTCAGCACACAGCACAGAAACACCTCAACCTGCACACACTGCACCCCTGCTCTGCTCCATCCCAGAGCAGCCTGACCAGCAACCCCCTGCACCTCCACCCCCAGCAACCCCCTGCACCAGCAACCCCCTGCACCAGCAACCCCCTGCACCAGCAACCCCCTGCACCAGCAACCCCCTGCACCAGCAACCCCCTGCACCAGCAACCCCCAGCAATCCCCTGCACCTCCACCTCCAGCTCCCACAGGACTGTGCCCCTCGGATTCCTCGTGCTATCCAGTCTGCTGCCAAAGCCCTCCTGACACCCCGTGCAGCTGGATGGAAGATGACAGGGAGGATGTTGCAGTCCCGCTCCTCAAGGCACCATGAGGGGCTGTCCAAGAACCCTGTTGAGGATCTGTTCCTCCTGCAGCCACACCTGGGACACAGCCTGGTCTGAAAACTGGCACAGGAAAACCAGGCTGCAGAAACACTTCCCTGAGAGCTGTGTACTATTGTGCCAGGGGAGGTTTAGATTAGATATTAGGGGAAATTTCTTCAGAGAAAGGGTTGTGAAGCAATGGCACAGGCTGCCCAGGGAAGTGGTGGAGTCACCACTCCTGGGAGTGTCCAAAAAAACCGTGGGGATGTGGGTTAGTGAACATGGTGCTGGGTTGACAGTTGGACTGGACGATCTTAAACATCTTTTCCAACCTTAACAACTCTGTGATTCCATGATTTTGTGATTTCAGACACTCAACACCAGCCCTGGTCACTGAAGCCAAACCACTGGTGCCTCTCAAATCAAATCCAGCAACTCAATTCCAGCACAAAGCATCTTCTGCTGTGGGGCTGCTGGGGCTGCTGCTTCTGGGCTTCTGAGCACAGAAGGGGTCTGGGTGGTTTTATTTTAAGCTCTCTTGTTTCTGAAATAACCACGGTACTTCACGAATCACCAGGATATCCCAACCGTAACATCACACAGGTGAGTTTTACTCAGATCCATAGAATCCTTAGGTGGGATGGCACGGCATGACACACTCCATTCTACCCTTACCACCCAGAGCAATTAAGCAGCATCTCACTTTGGGGCCAATTTTATTATTATTATTATTATTATTATTATTATTATTATTATTATTATTATTATTTTAAAGCTTCATTTATTTTCCATTTATCTCTGGGCTGAACATTGCCCCTCTCCACCCAGCAAGCCTAGTTGTCAGGACAGGAGCAAGCTTACTCAAATACTAATTAAGCTTCAAATTATAAGAGAGCAGAGCTGACACCCTGAACGCTCAAACCAGCCTGGAACAAGCGTCGTTTGTTCTGAAAGCGAGAGAAAAGGGGAAATCTGAAGGGGGAACTTCCAGGAACGGGAGCGCTCAGGAGAAATGTGATAGTTCGAAGATGTTTGGAGCAATGCTCACTTTGCCAAACAGCACTTCCAGGTACACCAAGGACCCTCCCTCACCCCAATTAAAGCAGGTCCTGTCTCTGAGTGAACAGCTCTTGCTCAGGAGGCCCTTCCCGGGGTGCTGGGGAGTGGGTGGCACACATGGATCCTCCAGAGCTCCCTCCCTCAAGGAACCAGCCCAGTGTCAATCAGCCACATCAGTTCTGCATCATCCAGGTGGAGGCAAGTCCCAGCTCCTCTGAGCTGCAAACTCCTAAATGGCAGCTCGGCTTTAAGCGTTAAACTCGAGGGGTTACTCAGGCTCGGGTGTCATTCTCAACACGGCTCTTTATAGCAGTGCATTAACCCCCAAAATACAAGGCTTCGGGAAAGATTCAATAAAGGTTATTTTAAAAACAAAATGTTGTGGCAGAAATTTGGGCTCTCAAATCATTGCCCTTTCCACCCCCCCGATGCTCTCCCCGATCCCTCCCCCTGTCAGCAGGGATCAGGCAGTCTGGGAGACTGTTCCTCCTCACCTCCACCACCCACAAAACCAAGGATTATTTCCAAGCGAGATCCAGGGATTTGGGTTTTTCTGCACTGTGCCTGCCCCACTCACACCATCCCTCCAGGGAAAACACTCTCACCCCAAAACACCAGACCCATCCTCGGGCTGGGACCGTCAGGAGAGACTCGACACTAGGACAGATTTGAGGTGACACTGACTAACCACGACGAGGGCCAGAGTCACCTCTCAGGGTGCTGGAGAGCAAACTGGGGGGTCCCACACTCCGGACCCGGGTGCGTATCCCCAAGCAAGGGGATAAAATGTGGGATGCAGTTTTCCAATCCCACTTTCTCCCCTCACGAAGGAGGCACAGCAGCCCAAACCCTGCACCAAACCCAAACCCTGTACCCCTGTACCCCCCTCCCTGCTGGGGCATCACCCCCCGAGGGTGCAGGGGAGCCCCCACACCCGAGCCGTGGCCTTCCTGGGGCATCTCCGAGGGGCAGTTTGGGGGATGAAGGACGATCCCTGAAGAAGATGAGAGACCGTGCCTAGGGGGCAGTTCTGAGGATAAGGCATTTTCCTGAGGAGCAACGTGGGGGGGCGACGGGAGCAATCCCTGAGGGGCAGTCGGGGGGATGAGCGGGTGATCCCCGAGGAGGGTGAGGGGCGATCCCTGAGGGGCAGTTTTGGGAGATAAGAGGAGGCAATTCCCTGAGGAGCAACGGGGGGGAGGGAGGGGTGAGAGGACCCCCCCATCCCGCAAGGTCATCGGGCCGCCCCCCCGCGACCCTCCCGAGGCCCAGGGCCACCGGGACCCCCCGCCCTGACCCGCAGCCCCCGCGCTCCCCGCTCCCCGCGCACGGGACCCCCCGCCCCACCTGTGCGCCGGGATGCGCTGCGAGCCGCGGCCCTTCCCCACCAGGAAGTGCACGTCGCTGAGCACCTCGTTGTTGAAGAGGAACGCGAACCGCTCCTGCACCGTCGGCTTCGTCGCCTGCCAGTTGTACACCGGCTCCCGCTGCAGCGCCCCGCCGGCACCGCCCGCCCCGCCGGCCGCCCCCGCCGCCCCCGCCGCCGCCGCTGCCGGGCCCCCCGCGCCTCCGCCGGCCGGCGGCGGGTTGGCGGCGGCGCCGCTCTGGTTGTAGGTGAGGCCGGGCGGCGAGGCGGGCGCGCCGTTGGTGCAGGCGGCGGCCGCGGCCCCGTTGCCCGGCGGGGGCGGTGGCGGCTGCGGGCAGGAGGAGGAGAGGCCGCCGGGGCCGCCGCCGCTCCCTCCGGCCGCCATCTTGTGCGGCGGGGCCGCGGGGGCGGGCGGCGCGGGGCGGCGCTGCAGCAGCACCAGCACCAGCAGCGGCGGGCGGGACACGGCGGCGGGCGGGACGGGGACGGGGGCGATGGTGGCGGTGGCGCCGATGGCGGTGGTGCCGATGGCGGTGCCGGCGATGGCGGTGCCGGCGATGCAGAGCGCCGGGCAGCAGCGGCGCATGGGGCGGGCGCCGCCGCCGGCCGGGCACGGAAGGGGGAGCGGCGGAGGCGGCGGCGGGGCGGGGAGAGGGCGTGGGGCGGCGGGCGGGGCCGGGCGGGCGGGGAGCGGGGAGAGCGCGCGGGGGAAGGATGGAGGGAGGTGCGAGGGGGGAGCGAGGGCGTGACACCTAAAGGGGCGAGCTTTGGGGAGAGTGAGGTGCCCGAGGGGCAGTTTGGGGGATGAGGGGGCGATCCCTGAGGGGAATGAGGGGCCATCCCTGAGGGACATTTGGGGGGATGAGGGGCCATCTCCGAGGGGCAGTTTGGGGGATCTGGGGGAGATCCATGAGGGGGATGAGAGCACATCCCTGAGGGGAAGGGGTCGTCTCTGAGGAGCATGAGGAGCCATCCCCGAGGGGCAATTTTGGGGATGAGGGTGCATTTCCCTGAGGAGCAACATAGGGGAGTGAGGGGATCAATCCCTGAGGGGCAGTTTTGGTGGGCGATCCCTGAGGTGCAGTTTGGAGGATGAGGGGTGATCCCTGAGGGGGATGAGAGGCCATCCCTGAGGGGCAGTTTTGAGGGTAAGGCAGTATTTCCCTGAGGAGCAATATAGTGAAGCAATCAATCCCTGAGGGGCAGTTCTGGGGGGAAAGGGGGCGATTCCCTAAGGAACAATGTGGAGGAGTGAGAGGAGCAATCCCTGAGGGGCAGATTTGGGGATGAGGGGGTGATCCCTGAGGGTGATGAGGGGCTATCCCTGAGGGGCAGTTTGGAGGATGAGAGTTGATCCTGGAGGAAGAGTAAGGAGGTGATGATCCCTGAAGGGGATGAGGGGCCATCCCTGGGGGGCAGTTTTGAGGACAAGGAGACATTTCCCTGAGGAGCAACATGGTGGGGGTGGGCAAGAGGAACAATCTCTGAGGGGCAGTGTGGGGTGATAAGGGAGCAATTCCCTGAGGAGCAATGTGGGGGAGTGATGGGAACAATCCCTGAGTTGTGAGGGGGTGATCCCTGAGGAGCAGTTTTGGGAGATAAGGGGGCATTTCCCTTAGGAGCAATGGGGGGGGGGGGGGGGGGCACAGGAAGCAATCCCTAGCAGGAAGTTTGGGGGACAAGGGGGTGATCCCTGAGAAGGACAGAGGCTCATTCCCGAGGCCCAGTTTTGTAAGAAGAGGGGGCAGTCCCTGAAGGGGAGTGAGGGAGTGATCCCTGAGGGACAGTTTTGAGGGATAAGGAGGTGATTCCCTGAGGAACAATGTGGAGGAGTGAGGGGAGGAATCCCCGAGGGGCAGTTTGGGAGACAAGGCACAGGCTCCTCATTTCCCTGAGGAGCAATGTGGGCAGTGAAGAGGAGCAATCCCCAGGAGGCAATTTTGGGGAATAAAGGGACCATCCTGTGAAGGGAGTCATTCTGGCAAGGATAAGGGGTGAGAGGGCCCAAAGAGCAGTTTGTGAAGGGATGAGAAATGGGGGTGGAATTCATGGAGGGGAGCTTGGGACTTGTGGGGCTGAAGGGGGTCGGCGCTGGGGGTGAGGAGCCAGGGAGGTTTGGGCTGTGGAGAGGGGCAGTGGGTGGGATTGGGGTGAAGGGGAGGCTCTCCCTTCATGCTCTCACAATCCAGCAGACCCAGGGCTTTGCCATCCCCAGACCTGCTTTGTGCCCAGCAATTCCTCACAATAATTAGCTCAGAGTTCCTGACTGCTGCTGCTGACACAGGCCTGGAGCACCACAGGGGTACCACATCACCAGGATCACCACAGGTATGACCCTGCACAGAGCAGGGAGCACAGCTCTCCCCGGGACAGGCTGATCCCTCACCTGGGCATGCCCTGCTGCTCCCGAGATCCTCCTGGATCTGCTCAGCTGCTGTGTCCCCACCATGGAGTGTCCTCCCCAGGGTGAGGTGGAGATGGAGCAGGGGCAGGAACAGGCTGCAAAGCAGAAGATTAATTAAGAGGCTGTGCCACTGCCTCGCTGTGATCTCAGTAACTGAACCGTTAAAGTGATTTATTCTTCGCAGGGTAATTACATTCCCCCTCTCCCTGTTATCCGTCCCCTGATCTGTGTTGCACTCACACATCCATTCCTGTGGGCTGGGACTCAGCATGTCAGCGAGGAGATGGCCAGGCTGCCCCTTCTGCTTCCTGTGCCTCGGTGTTACACCTCCTGTAACACACACTGATGTGCTGTTTGTGTGGGTTGGGTGCTGTTTGTACGGATTGGGTGCTGTTTGTATGGATTCTGTGCTGTTTGTATGGATTCAATGCTTCCATACCCTCCTACAGCTCCAGGTTCTCACCACGAACCACCACAGCCGTGGTGGTGTCACACCACTAATTTTGATCAAGAGCTTCCAACTTTGTTTTGTATTTATGTTATCAAATGCCCATTTCTGCTTCTTCTGCTGCAGTTTTTAAAGCTGTGTTGCACTTCACGTGGACGGGGTTGGGAAACTTCTGTGGCCACAAGCCATGCAGAGCTCAGAGCTCTTGTCCTAATAGTCCCTGTGCAGGCAGGAATGAGTAGAACCATAAAATCACAGAATCATTAGGGATGGAAAAGACCTTTAAGATCATTAAGTCCAACCATCAATCCACCACCACCATGTTTGTTCCCAAGTGCCACATCCACACGTTTTTTGAACATTCCCAGGGATGGAAACACTTGGAGTATTTTAGAGTATTTATTTAGACTGTTAAAAAATAGTAGTTTTTGGAGGAACGGCCCTTTTTGCTGCGAAGTCTTTCATTTGTTGTTACTAACCGAGCATTGAATCAGCCGCATTCCCTTCCAGAGCGCTGCAGCCTTTCCCCTCTCACGCCGTTTGCTCGGCACATCACACGCACACACTCCCCCTGGGCCGGCCCAGCTGCTTCCACACGTTTGCAGCGTCACATTCTCCCCTCGGGCCGCGCTCGCCTGGCCGCCCGCCCGCTCCCTGCGCGGGCCTGTCCCGTTCGGGATCCTCCTGTCGGGCCAGAAACATTAGAGGGAGCTGAAGCCTCGCAGTGCCCGGCTGGGTGCTTGGACGGGGTGGGGGCTGGAGCCTCATCCCTGTGTCTATGTGTGTGTGTGTTAAAAGCAGGTTGAAGCAAGAGAGAACACACTTTTCCTAAAGGAGGAAGAAGATTATCCACCCTCTATTACACAGAGTTTTCCTTTTGGTGTTTTTCTTTTCGCTGAGCGTGGCAGAGCAGAGATTTGCTGTGAGATCTGGCAGAAGGAGCGAGCTTTGATGACGGATGCACTGAACAGTTTTGTCTGCTCAGTATCTTCAAGAGCTGCTCTGAGACTAAGGTTAGAGACCACCAAACAGTGCAGGCTCCTTTGGTTTTGAAAAGACGTACTGGCAGGTGTATTTCATATTTTCCAGTGACATGTTTTCTCTGTGTTGCATTTTGCACTGGCAGTTTCTTCCTGCAAAGCAACCAGTGCTTGGGGGGCGTGTTCCTTTACGTGCAAGAGCAGTCAGGACAGAAACCCCAAACCACCAAAAGTGGGTTTTTACACAGTTATACTGTGCTGCACCCCTGGCAGTAGGAAGTGGGTGGTGGGCACTGGCTTCGTGGTCCCACATTCCTCCAGCTTCAGGAGTGTTGCAGGAATGTCGCCTGCCCAGGAGGTGCAGGAACATCCAGCCCAACCCACGCTGACGGGGAGGGAGGTGATGGAGGCTGAAGCCTCTCCACCATAGCCTTCCCTGCTCCCAAATCCCAGCAAATCCATGGCCATCCTCAAGCAACTGTGGTGTCTCTGAGGGGATGGTGTGCCTCGCCAGGGAGGACGTGGTTCTCCATCACACAGGGAGGGGATTTGGCATCCATTGGATCCCTCCCCGTTCGATGCTGATCCCACCAGCACCACCACCCTGCTCCGTGCCAGTGCTCCAGACAGATCCCAGTAATTTGGCATGTGGTGAACCAAACAAGGGTGATTGATCTTGTGGCAGGAGCCAGACCCTCAACTCAGGTCCAGTGTAAGGAAACACAGCTGTGGAAATAAGGGATAATCCAGATGGCACAGAAATCCCTGTGGGACACTCACCTTGGCACTGTGGGATAGGGTGAGGTGTTTGTTGCACAACCCCGGACCAACACCAGGGAAATACAAACACTAGTGCCATGCAGGAGTCCTTAAAATCCCAAAAATAGACCTGGGAGCACAGGGTCATTATTCCTGGATCCAACAGCCAACAGATTCCTCCAGAGATCAGGCACTGGGCAGAGGCAGTGCTGTTCTAGCTGGGGCAATCACAGGGGGAGCAAAAGCCTCACTCCAGCAGTGGTTCAGCTGGGGGGGATGGAGCACTGACCACATCCAGGGCTGGGAATGAAGGGTCTGGGATACACAGGGCTACGAGGAGCTGGAATGAAACTGGTGGGATCGGGGTGCTCAGAGTTGGATGGCGGGGAATTCCCGGCCCTTCTTCATCTCTGAAGGCAAAAAAATACATTTGGGATATGTGTTCCAAGGAAAAGATGGGAAGGCAGAGGTAGCTCTCCCCTGGCTGACTCAAGGAGTCATGTTAAGGCATAAGGAAGCTCCAGGAAGCTCCAAGGAGGATGTGTGGCAAAGATGGAGACATCCTGGGGGTGAGCCAGAGGAGGGCAAAGTGGGACCTGCCAAACCCTGTGTGACAGCACCAGGCCTTGATTTAAACCTTCAGCCAGGAGAGAAGGGGACTCAGGAGTCCACAGCCAGCTCCAGCCACGGGCATGGCGGAGCCTCCGAGGGGCACAGCTGGAAATGCTCTCCTGGGTTTTGAGAAAACCTGGTGCTGCTCCACTCCTGTGATCAACCGCAGCTCCCAAGGCCTGTGTGATCCCACAGGGAGCTGAAATCCTGTGGGAAAGCCAAACCTGCTCCACATGGCTCTCCAAAAGCCACCCTTCACCATCCAAAACCACAAACAAGGCTGACCAAAGGCTTTTCCAGGCAGCAGAGGAAACATGTGCCAGGTCATGCCGATGCCACCAAGGCTCATCCTGGTGCAGGGGGACCAGCTGGCCACAGGCAGAGCCAGAGCTGCACACAGGGCTCTCCCAGGGTGCACGTCACTCCCTGAGATGGCTCCAGAGGGAGAACCTACACACACCAGCCACAAAGTGACACCTTCTACCAAAAAAAGCCCAGACTGGTTTGTTTTGGTTGCCTCGACAGGAGAGGTGACTCACTGCAAAACACACAGGGTTTCTTCTTTCCTCTGCCCCATCCCAGAAAACGTTTTAAAAGCACAAAAAGGAAAACTAAACCTTTTTTTGATCCAAAACAGCCCTTCACACCTTCCTCTCCACATGCCCAGCGTGGGTTCGGGGCTCATGGATGGTTCAGGAGGGCAGTCTGGGCTGAGGGAATGCACATTCCTCACTTCAGTGAGGAAAGGAAGAAAAGAAAACTTTGGGTTTTGGGCAGATAGTGAATCAAAACTTTGATTAATCACCTGGATCATCATCTTTCACCAGCAGAGCCAGACTTAGACCCAAAACACTGAGGACACTTCACGTGCCTCGGTGCCCTGGGCTGAACCCAAGTGTGACCCCAGCAGCCACTCAGATCCCATTGGGACCCGCTGGCTCCATCAAATCCCGAGAACTGGCACAAGCCACCACGTCACCCACAGCCTGACTGATTCCCCCACATCACCCAGGTCACCCTGGTGGCTCTGCAGTGGCCCCTTTGCTCCAGGCCACCGTGGGTGGCATCGCCTCTGCTCCTCTGCAGGGCTTTTCTCCACTGCAAATCCATGCCAGGGTATTTATAGTGCCCTTATCCCGGTGGAGCCTATTTTGGGCCGATGCTCAGGCCCCAGAGCAGCGCGGGTTATTTTAACCCAGCGCTGGGTTATTTTCAGGGCTGCCCTTCTCCGCACGTGCTCCGGGATGGGTTCCAACTGCCGGGCAGTTTTGGGGGTGGTGGAGGGAGGGAAGGGGGAAAGAGGGACCCACAAAGGAATTGCTGAGATTAAAACCTAAACCAGCGTCTGCAGCAAAGCTGCCTTTGGCACACCACCTGCCTGGGATCCACCTGGAATCTTGGAAGGTGGATTTTCTGCAGGATAACCCATGAGCAAAGAGCAGGGGGGGAGGGGTTTCTGGATGGGGAGACAACAAACAAGAGGGGAAGGAGAGCAAGATACACAACAGGGAAGGAGAGCCAAGAACTGGATGCTCCTGAAATGTCCAAGGTCACCAGTTGGTGGCCCCAGGTCCAGGAGGGAGCAATGACTTTGTTCAACAAAGGCAGGAACAGCACCATGGGATGGGACCGGGAGACACTCCTCATTCTCTGCATCCAGGGAACCCCAGCCCTGCTCCCACCCTGGGCTGTCCTGGAGCAACCAGGGAGAGGAGGCCCCCGGAGGAGTCCTGTCTGGATCCAGGTGCTGCAGGAAGCACCATTTCCCAGGCCGTGAGCCCAGATTTCTGGCCATTGAGTGGGGCTCTCTCAGCTCAGAGCCAGGAGCAGCAGCTGGTCCACAGCAGATCCCACAGCCCATCCCCAAAAAGCGGGAGTGCCACAGATGGGGGTCTGCCAGGACAGCAGTGCCAGCCAGGGCATCCCCACCTGCCATAACAAGGGCATCCAGAGGGATCCAGCTCCATCCCCCCTAGCATGGCAGCAAAAGTAATTTGCCAGGCCAGAAAATACCTTAAAAATTAGAATACATTAAAAAAAACTCCACAAGGGCAGCCCTGCCCTGGGAAAAAGCCCTTTCCCATACCCTGATCCCCAACCTCCAGTCCACACCACTTCCTCCATCCCCAAACCTCCCAGATCCCTCCTCACAACCTTCCTCTGGCCTCCTCTTCCCCCTCACCCCCTGGCAGGTGGATGTGTGGGGAGGATGGACCAGGGGGTGGATCAGGGGGTGGCAGAGCAGCCCCCAAAAGCTGTTTGCAGCTGGCAGGGAGCACAGCCCTGCCCGTGACCTCCAGGTCCCGCTGGGGATTCAAGGATCACACCATCCTGCTGGAAAAGTGAGTCAGGGCCGGAGCTGCTGCCAGCCCCTATTCCTGGATCCCACTGCACTCACACTCCCAGCCCCCCTGGACCAGGAGCCACTGGAAGCTGGGAAGGCCAACAGTGGGAAGACCCAGGGGTCTCTCTCCCCCTCCCACCTCGCCCAATCCACCCACCTGCCACAAGCACCTGCCCACCACGTAGGTCTCAATGCATTTTTATTAAATTCTTACAAAACAGAATACAAAATTCTGGCATCAACAATTGTTATAAAGGAAAACTTCAATTCAGCTGTATCAGGTCACCTGGTACATACAAGTAAAGTGCTTATTTTTGTGTGGGTTTTTTCTTTTTTTTTTTCCTTTTTTGTTTTTGTTTTTTTGTTGATTTTTTTGTTGTTTTTTTTTTTAATATTTTCAGTTTTTATTTCCCAGCCAGCCCCCGAGCAGAGGCCGCTGCTGCACAAACCAACAGTGCGATAACGTGACTCCTGTGGAACCAGCTTTGGCAGTCTTCATCAATTGTAAAGAAGAGAAAGCTTCTCCTGGTTTGATAAAAAGAGTTAGAGCTTCACAGTAAACGTTTCTAACCAGTTCTAAAGTCGAGTTAGTTGGCTGAAGGAAGGGGGGGGAAGGAGAGGAAGCCAAAACGCTTAAAGTTTCCAGCTTAAAAAAAAAAATAATAAAAAAAAAAAAAGAAGAAAATCTTTTTGAAGTTGGTTTCCAAGATAGATGCTCTATGGGTAGGGGGGGAAGAAGCCTGGGAAGAGGAAGAAGAAGGGTGTTGGTGAAAAGGGGTCGCTGGTGCTGGACCACGGGAGCATCTGTCTGGAAACCGCCTCGGGAGAGGCGCTGGCATGAGGGTCTCCCCAGCCATCCCTGTCCCACTGAGGCACCCAGGGGTGCCCAGCACTGCCACGAGTCAGACTGGAGCCATTCCAGAGTCAATCCCCAGCTCTAGAGGCAATTAAAGATTCTCTCCCAACACCTGAACCCTGCCATGGGTCACCCCAAGCGCTGGGTTCACCAACCGAACCCCCGCCCCAAACACGAAGCCAAGCCTGGGCCGAGCTCGGGCACCCTCTGGCACATCCATCCCCTCGCCACAAACCCCCACAGCACCTTCCAGCTGCACATTCCCGGCCAGGGACACCCCAGGTGCCCACGGGACACGCTCCCAGCACAGCACGGGTCACCCAGGCCACGCGCCCGCCTCCACCAGAGAGGGTGTGTTCGTATATTTATATAAAACATCGCGCTTACACGTGGGGAAAAGGGGGAACTCAGCTTGCCAACATCCGCAGCACAGGGGGGACAGATAAATCCCAGACATCCCCCTGCCATCCCCTTCCCACGGATTTTGTGTGATTTTTGTTTTGTTAAAAAAAGGCTGCGCCGTGCAGCATCAACAATAGCTTCACAATACCAGCTCAAGGCATCGCTGTACTGTACATCATTCAAGTATTTCTTAATATAAGACAACGAGGAATTATCTACAACTGATAAAATAAGCTATAGAAAGTAACAATGTACAATCAAGATGGACTTTCTTCCTTTCTGTTAAAGGAGGCCTCTCCGGGGTGTCCCAGTGCCTGCGTGGGGGGGTCTCCCCTCATCACCACCTCGCTCCTCCCCACCCAGCATGGTGGGACTGGGAGAGGGCTGACTGCAAGGGCGAGGCAGTTTTTGGGGGGGTGGGATGGGGATGGAGCCGCCCTCCCCCATGGCCCCCGGGTCAGCAGAAAGGCCAGGAAGGGTGAGAGAAGATGGCCCCTGCCCTAAGCTCCAACACCCCTGCCCATCCTCCCCCAAGATAACTCACACACACCTCCCTGAAACAAAAAACAACATATATTGCATAGTATTGCTGTCAGCAGTCTTAAAATGAAAAGGAGAACTTTCGGTTTTTTTCCAGAGACAGCGACTGACTTCAGCTGAAGACCCAGGGAAGCCTCTTCTCCCCCGGCTCAGAGCTCCCAAACCCTCACCTGTGCACACGAGGCTGCTTTTGCAAAATATAAAGCTCCAAGCACTGAGTGGGCAGGGGCTGTGAAAGGGGCACTCCCTTCCCGGCGGAATGGGGGGGTGGCAGCGGGCACAGCTTGGTGGCCCAACCCATGGCCGTGCCTGTGGTGGGGCGCAGGGGTGTCGGGGGGATCTGGAGGCACTGGGGGGAGCTGGAGGCCAGCCCAGCCCCAAGTGCCTCCTGGCCAGACCCAGAAACCAGCCAAGGGCCTCATCCCAGCTCAGCATTCCAAGCCCTTCCCTGCCATGCATTCCTTCCCTTCCCCAAAGCAAGCCCTGAGGAAAGGGCAGCGCCTGAACACACGTGAACACGGATGCACATCCATGAACACACACACCAGCACTGTCCTCTGCCCCGACCCCAGGCCCTCCAGCCCCACATTCTGAGCCGTCCCCAGGCTGCTCCCCCAACACTGCGGCCCTCGGGTGCTGCCACCAGCCTGGCTGCTCCCCACTGGTATCCCTAGGGCACTGGGCACCCTCTGTGCCCCCAGACCCTCCTGCCACAGCAGCCTCGGGGCCAGCCCGAAGCCACAGCAGGTCTCACTGTCCTGCAGCAGGTCCCGGCACTCCTTAAGTGGCTCCTTGCTTTCCACGGAGCACAACTATTCCCAGAGGGAGTTTCTGGCTGCTCTGGCCACCCTGAACACCTCATCCCCCTCACACCTCCACCAGGGCACAGCCACCAGCGCCTCCAAACCCAGGGGGTACAACCCCTGCCCTGGCACAAGAGCACAGCCCTGGGTGCCTGCGAATCCCCCGGCTCTGGCCTTACCCCCAGGAGCCGCTGCCGGAGCGCAGGAGGGAGGAAAGGAAGACATTTCTCTGTGCCCTGTAGAGAAGCACAGCTAGCAGTTTAAAACCAACAATCATCAAAAAAAAAAAAAAAAAAAAAAAAAGGAAAAAGAAAGAAAAGAAGGGGGTGAATAGCTTATTCTGGGATGCCGAGGAGAGAGGGTGGCTCGGTGGGACAGGGCACTGCTCCCTCGCTGGCACCATCTCCCCCCGGCCCGAGCGGTTCCCTGCACAACACCCACCGTGTCCCCCCGGAGCAGAGCCAGGGACAGCCCCCAGCCCGGGACGGAGGTGCCTCCCAGACCCCCGGGAAAGGGGGGTTTTGTGGGATCTACCCCAACATCGGAGAAAAACCTGCAGCTCCGAGGGGAGGGACGAGGTTAAAATGCGACTCCCGTTGTTGGAAACGCGACCGAGGGTCTTTTGTTCACAGTATGAAATGAGCTGAAATCGTCAAAGCAGCCGCGGGTACAAAGAGTCCTTTGGTGTCGGGGAGGGGGGGAAATGTCAGAGGAGAAACCAAGAGTCGGGGAACAAAAGTCCATGTGTCTGTCAGATGTCCTTGAGTGTGCCCTGGGTGAAGCAACCTCACGCTTGATTTAATACCTTAAAAAAAAAAAAAAGATCTTAAACAAACCCTCCCACCCCCAGACCTACAAGATCAGCAAAACCTTGGAAACCAGCCACAGGGACGAGTCCTGATCTTGTCACTAGCCAGAAACGGTGAGGTTGGGTGGGGGGGAAAGGGGGGAAGAAAGAAAGGAGAAGGGGGGATATGGGGTCCAGCAGGTGCAGGGGGCACCGCTCAGGCTTGGTCGGCCACCAGGACCAGCGGGGCCACCAGGTGCTGCCCGGCGGCCACTGCCTTGGCCAGGTTGCTCTTCTGCCGCCGCTTGGCCAGCTTGGACTCGGAGGGGGGGGAGAGCTGCATGGCCCGTGAGGTAGCTTTGATGATGATGGGTCGTGCTTCCTCCTCCGCCTCTTCCTCCTCGTCCTCGTCGTGCCGCGTCAGCTGGCGGTTGACAGCGATGGCCTCGGCGGCGAAGCAGGTGAGCTCTTTGGCACTGCTGTTCCTGAGAGGGAGGCAGGGGCTCAGGGGGGCGTGGGGGGCTGCAGGGAGGGCAGGGTCACATATCAGGCTGTCCCTCCTCGTGTGCAGGTCATGGTCAGGCACCGAAAACTTGGCTCGGACCCAACTCGCAGCAGCCGCCGCTGCCCAGACAGAGCTGTGGTGGCAGAGCCCCCAAAAAGCAGCAGGAGTAGACAGCAGTGCTGAGGAGAGGAGCCAGGATTTTTGGGGCTGGGATTTTGGTTTTGGGTCAGGATTTCTGGGGCTGGGTGGCTGGACCCCCCATCCCACACTCACCTCTGCAGGATGATGGGGGTTGGCAGGGTGTTGTCCGGGGCACACTGCAATGAAACACAGTCGGTCAGAGCCAGGAACCCCACAGGGGGGTGTCCCCCCACCCCAATTTTAGGAGCAGAGAGCAGGGAGGGGGCATCACCACTCACCCCCTGCACCCAGGGGTGCTCCAGGACCTGGGCTGCGCTGAGCCTCTTCTTGGCATCTCTCACCAGCAGCTTGGAAATGAGGTCTTTGGCTCCGAAGGAGATGTGCGCCCAGTCCTTGTCGGGAAACTCGTACTTCCCCTCCTGGATGCTCTCAAAGAGCATGTTCTGGGGAGGGGGGAGAAAAAATCACAGGGGCTCAGCCAGGGGCGCTGCTGCGAAACTGGGGGTGGGTTTGGCAGTGCAGGGTCCCCCACGTACCTGGCAGGTGTGACAGGCCTCGCCCCGGTCCCAGCCGCAGTCGGAGCCGCAGTGGCCCACAAAGGGGGGGTACCCACTCAACATGATGTACAGGATGACCCCCAGGCTCCACAGGTCACAGCGCTTGTCGTAGATCGTGGCCTCCTCGTTGAAGGCCTCCACCACCTCTGGGGCCATGTACTCGGCTGAGCCACACTGTGGGGACAGGCAGGTGAGTCCAAAGGGTGGGCACCAAGGGCAGAGGGGGCTGGGAGGGTTCTGCCAGAGCTACAGGGCTGCACCCCTGAAGGGAGGGTGCAGACAGGGCTGCTCCCTGGGATTTGCTCCTGCCAGGGCAGATCATCCTGCAGGGTTTCCCAGCACGGGGGATGCCACAGACCTGCCTCTCTGGGGTCACCCAACAGTGAGCTGCCACCCCACAGGGGAAAAAAAAAAAAAAGTCTAAAGGGTGCAACCCCCGCGGGACAGCACCAGGACAGCCAGACCCACACCCCACAGCACCCACACCCCACAGCACCCACACCCCACAGCACCACCGCCACCCAACCGGCTCAGCAGGGCAGCAGCCGCTCCATCGCCTGGGAGAGGCTGCAGGACACAGAAGGACAATCCTGCTCTGCCTGTTCCTCTGCCTGACTCTGCCTGTTCCCCCTGCCTGTTCCCCTGCCCGTTCCAGGCAGCGCAGCCGGGGCAGGCGCAGGCTCCGGGGCGGGAGGAGTTAACCCCGCGGGAAGGGGAGGCAGCGCCAGCCCTTCCCCGATCGCTCCAGGGACTCTGGGGCTTTCCAGCACATGACCCGCAGCCCACACGGGCCTCGTGACCAGGGGGAGAAAAGAGCTGCAGCCAGCAGATAATCACCCCGGAACGAGAGGGGCCTCCGAGCAGGGGCCTCCCCAGCCCCGGCAGCTGATGGCACCGCAGCAAAACAACCCCCACACACGGCCCCGAGCCCGGCACCGCGGCAGGGCTGATCCCGCCGGGAATGGGGCAGCCGACTCCACGGCAGGGCTGATCCCGCCGGGAATGGGGCAGGCACCCCCCTCGGGCTGAGAACGGGGAACTCGGGACACCTCCCAGACTCAGATCCCGCCCCAGCAGGAGGGTACACACGGCGGAACGAGGGGGGCCGGGGTGCTTTGGCCCCCATCTCTGTTGTTGTGCCCCCACACCAGCCGGGCTCCGCCTCCCCCAGCACGTGCACACCCCAAAAATCCCGGGGTGCGGGGGAACACCCCGCCCAGGGCGGGGACCTGCCGCCGCAGATAAGAGCGAGGGGGGGGCTCTGTGCAACACGGGGATCGCCCCGGGAGCTTCGGGGGGGTCCAACCTCCGGGGGGGCCCAGCCCAGGAGTCGCGGGGGCTCCCGCAGCCCCCCCAGCCCCGTTCCTGACCCACTTGTGCGGGCGCAGCCGCCGCGCCGGCCCCGCCGTGCTCGGGCTGTTGCTAAGGCTCACCGAGCTCAGCAGCCCGGGCGCCGCGCCAGCCCCCCGGCCCCCCCGCGTTATGTAACCGCATCTCTCCTGCCACAGCACGGGGGGGACAGCGGGGGGGACACGCAGCATCAGCGGGGGGGTGTCCACGCACAGCCCCAGCCCCGAAGCCTGCAGGACCCCTCCTCAAGAGACTGACACCCCCCCCAAGGGACTGACACCCCCCAGCACTGACCGGGGTGAGCAGCTCCGGGGTGGAGATGGGGGAGCAGTCGCCGTTCAGTTTGATGCCACTTCCCAGGTCGAAGTCACAGATCTTCACCGGGGAGACCTGAGGGTGGGGAGAAGGAGCGGTTGGTGACCCCCCCTGCCCCAGCAGCCCCCCCAAGGAGCACAGCCCGTGCTTCCAGGCTGCAGATGGTCAATGCCTGGGCTTGTCGTGCTTCACGCCGCCCTGTGCTGCAGCATCCGGGGAGGTGTCCCTGGGGCTACACCCCCTGTGACCACTACCCCGCTCAGCAGCACCCCCACTGTGTCCACACCCCCGGGCAGCACCCCCTGCACCCAACCCCAGCTGCTCCCTCTCACCTGGTCCAGGCTCTCACACAGGATATTTTCTGGTTTCAGATCCCTGTGTGCGATCCCTGGGGGGCAGAAGAGCCAATGAGGGCAAAAATCCCCCCCTACAAGAGCCCCACAGCGAAAGGTCTGGGGGTGGCACAGGGAGCCCTCCCTCCCCACCCCAAATCCCCGCCTGCACACCCTGGCAGAGGGCAGAAATCACTGCTGGCCCCGAGTCCCAACGAACCAGAGGAACAGGATCTGCACCACGAGGAGCTGGGTGATGCAGCTGGGCCAGACTGGGATGGGCACCGTCCCCTGGGCAGGGGGCTGGGGGGGCACTGACACCCCCGGGAGGGCCCAGGGCACCCCAGGGTGTCCCAGGGGCTCACCTTTGTTGTGCAGGAAGTGCAGGGCGCTGGCGATATCCCGCACCACCACGCTGGCCTCCAGCTCGTTGAAGTGGCGTCTCCGGTGGATGTGGGTCAGGATGGAGCCTGTGGCCAGGGGAGAGCAGAGTGGGGGCTCGTGGGGGTCCTGCCACCCCACCCCAGCTCCCCCTGACCCTGGCACTGCACTCACCTCCCCTCATCTTCTCAAACACCAGGTAAAACCTCTCCTCCTCCTCAAAAAACTCGATCAGCTCCAGGACGTTCCTGCGGGAGCAGCAGGATCAGCCCCGGCATCCCCCCAAAACACCTCCTGGGTCCCCCCCTCCCCACGACCCCACCAGCCCACGTCCTGGGAGGGGAAAACTGCGTTCCCAGTGATTGAAACCACACGGCCAGGGCCCCCCTGGCTGCATTCCAGGGGGGAGAGGGACTCACCGGCCCGCCCCACTCCTCCCTAATTGCTCGCAGACCCTCCTGCCCCCCCGCCCCACACACGGGCAGGGGCTCGGCCCGGCCCCAATGTGGCCACTACAGCCCCCATGGCCTCGGCACCCACTGAATGTCCCCCTCTGGACGCTCCCACACCGGCCAGAGGGGCCAAGGGGAGGGGTTGTGGGGCCGAGGGTGTCCCGGCTGCACCCCACGGGTGTCATGAGCGTCACCCTGGTCTCAGCCCACCCCCGTGCCCACAGTGGGGGCACACAGTGCCTGCCCCACCGTACCTGTGTCCCTGGCACTGGTACAGCATCTCCACCTCCCGGAACACCCTGCTCCGGATGTGTCCCAGGCGCTTCTCTATGATCTGGAAGGGAAAGCGGGGGGAGGCTCAGGGGGGAGGCAGCGCTGCCAGGGAGGGGCCGGGGTACCCCCACACCCTCCCCCCGGCGCGGGGACCCCCGGGGCCGGGCGGGGAGCCCGGCGGGCTGGCGGCAGCAGAACAGGCTGTTCCCGGCGCGGGTGCCAAGCGGCAGTGCCGGTGCCAAGCCGCTCCCTCCTGGGGCCGGGGCCAAGAGAGCTCCATGTGACGCCCCAGTGCCGGCCCAGCCGAGGGCCCTTCGCCCCACTGGGCACTGCCACAGCCCCAGGGGCTTGGTGGCTGTGCCACGGAGGGGCAGGGGGTCCCCCCCACCCACAGCCTCGTGAGTGCTCCCCCTGGGCTCAGCCCTTCGGGGCACATAGGGCCCCCCCCCAGCCCTCCCTGCTGCCTCAGTTTCCCCACTCAGAGATCCCCCCGGAGCAATGGGGGGAGGCCAAGCTGCCCTGGCATTTGGTTGCATTTGGACACAGCCCCCTGTGCCGTGGCCAGCAGCCTGCAAGATGCAGGGCCACAGGATCCCCATCCCTGACTCCAAAAGCAGCTGGTTCACCCCAACCCCCCCAGCACGACCCTCATGCTTGCCGGGGCTCGGAGACCTCCCTGGGGACAGCGGGAGGTGGCCACCCTGCCAGCACCACGTGCCCCCTGTGCCCCACGTCCCCAGACATGTTGCAAGTGTTAATTTAAGCTCCAGTCTGCCCTAATTGACAGGGAGGGGAGCAGAGCTAAAGGACCTGGGGCCGGAGCTGGGTGGTGGCAGAGGATGGTGTGGCACCTGCACAGCCCAGCCCTGCCCCTCTCCTGCCCCTCCAGCCCAGGAAAAAGTCGTCCTGTGCCAGCACCGGATGGTTCTGGGAGCTGGGAGAGCTCCAGCCTGGGGGGGACAGAAAGGGAAGCTGGGGTGGGGGTGGGAGGGAGGCAGAGCTTTACCTTCACCGCGTACTCCTTGTTGGTGATGAGGTTCACGCAGGACTGGACTCTGGCGTGGGCCCCTTCTCCCAGCACCTCCTCCTGCAGCTGGTAAACATCTGGCAGGGGAGAGGCCACTTGAGCTGCCAGCTCCACCTCACGGGGCACCACTGTCCAGAGCCTGGGGACAGCAGGGGGGCCCAGCCCTGCCCCAGTCACCCCACTCACCCTCAAACCTGCCCGAGAAGCTGTCGGTGGCCCTGCAGCGCTTCTTCTTCTTGTTCCTCTTCTTGGCGTCAGGGATGTCGATGGGTTGACTTGAAGGCATGTCTGTGCCAGAGCAAAGCCATCAGTCACCACCTCTGCTCCCCCAAAGGGACCACCCCCGGGGCAGCTCCCAAAGCTTTTGGGGGAGCACAGAAGGCTGACATCCCAGAGACAGGGATGGGAGGAGCCCCCTGGGATGGAGCCCCACGGGGAGCACCCGCAGCACCCAACACTCACCGGGACGGGGCGGGCACTCGAAGTTGAAAACGGGCTCCAGGTGGTTGGACTGGTCAAACTCCAGGTCGAAGGGGTTTTGTCCCTGTGGGAGCCAAGAACAGGAATGAGGGGGCAGCCACTGGATCAGCCACCACCGGCTGCCCACCCCGGACACGGAGCCCAGCACACTCCTGCTCTTGGCTCACCCCCCCGGGGTGCAGGACACCAGCTCATGGAGGGACAGGCAGAGCTCCCTGCAGAGCCAGAGGAGGAGGAGGAAGGGTCTGCCCCCATGTCCCGGTGGGGGCGGTGCCGTGGGGTTGTGTGGGGTTGTTCCCCCAGGCCAGCACGGGGGATGATGAGAGGGACCGGAGCCTCCCGCACAACCCAACCCCAAACCTCCAGCCAGACCTGACCTGCACTGAGGGGGAGGCAGACAGGCCACAGGGCAGGACGGGCTCCAGAGCCACCATGGCCACGTCCTCCCAGCTCTCTGCAAGGTCACGGTGGGGGGAGCCCGCTCTGTCCTGCTCCAGGGGACCTTGTGTCCCCTGGGCTGTGGGACACCCCAACCCGGCAGGATCAGGGCTCACCCCAAACCCTCCTGCACCCCGGGATGGAGGGAGGGCATGGGACCCACTGCCGCCCCCTCCCCAAACCCCAGTGGCACCCCAAAGACACAGAGCCCCTCTGCCCCCCCTCCCGAGCCGCCCCGTGGGCCGGGGCAGTGCTGGGGGCAAAAGGCCCGGTCCTGCCCGGGATTATGAAATCTGTTTGGGTGGAGGTGGCCGCTCCAGCGGCGTTCCCAAACCCGCCCGGTGCCCGGGCCAGCTGCCAAGCCCGGCACGGCCAACCCCGGCCACCGCCAGAAACACCCAGAACGTGCCTGTTTACTGCAGCCCGGGGGGGCCGGGGGGTCCCCAGCCGCTGCAGGGTGCGGGGGTCACGCCAGGAGCAACCCCCCACCAAGCACCACTCTGGATCTCCGGGGCCAAAACTCTCCTGCCCTGCGTTTTGCCGGCTCCCCCCTCCCCAAAAAGCCGGATCTGGGGGGCGCAGCATCGCCCCGCAGCCGCCGCCCCCGGGATGAGCCCCGGCGGGATGGGGGGGGCGAGGCCTCCGGGGGGAGGTACGGGGGGGGCACGGGGAGTACAGGGGGGTGCTGGGGGGCCCGGGGGGGCGGGGGGCCTCTCCAGCTGCCGCAGCACCGCCACACAAAGGTCTGGGGGAGGGGAGGCTGCGCACCGGCTCCATCGGCACAGCCGAGGTGTCCCCCCCTCCATCCCCGGACAGCCCGGGGGGGGCACAAACCCCGGCCAGAGGCCGTGCGAGCAGGAGGGGGGGGCACTGCAATGAGGGGGCGGGGCGGGGGGACCCCCAGCACCCCCCGGGCCGGAGCGAAACCGAACAAAGGTCCCCCCGATCCGCAGCCGGGAAGGAGGGGGGCGGGGGGGCGGCACCGAAAGGAGCGGGACCGCAGCGACCCCCGCACACCCCCCGAGGTGACAGTGCCGGGGCACGGCGGGGGGGTGACAGCCCAGGGCTGGGGGTACCCGGAGCACCCAGGGTGGGCGGCGCTGCAGGATCGACCCCGGGCCGGGCCTGGGAATCCCTGAGCCCTCCCCCCGCCGCGGGAGCCCCCCCGCACCCCGCGGCCGGGGCGGGGGGACAGCGCAGCCCCCCCAACACCGGGGACCCCGTGGGAGCTGCAGCAGCCCAGCGCTCACCCGGGGGTGGGGGGATACAGACCCGACCCCCGGCACGGGGGGACAGGGGGGTCCTGCTGCCCGCTTTAGGTGGCAGTGCCTCCCCTGCTTCTCAATTTTGGGGGTTGCCGGGGGGGGGAGGGGGCAGGAAGCGGCTGGTTCCCCCCCACACCCCGTTCCCGTGCAGGGGATGCAGCGATGCCGGACGATCCCGGCCCCGGAGCCCCCCCAAGAGTCCCTCCCCACCCCGAGCATCCCCGGGAAGCGGGGCGGTGGCGGGGGGGGGCAGCCCCTTACCTTGAAGGAACGGTGGAATCCCGGGATATCTGATTTCTTCTGCACCATCTTGCTGCGGGGGGGGGCGGGGGGCGGCGTTTCTGGGAGAAATTGGGGGGGGGGGGGCAGTGTGGAAAAATAAAAAATCGGAGGGGTGGGGGGGAGGGAGGCGGAGGGACGGGCAGAGCCGGAGGGGAGTCCGGGGGGTGGCCGAGACCTGCGGGGAGAGGAGGGGGCGAGGGGGGGGTGTCAGCCGGTGCTGCGGCCGCCCCCCCGGGATCCCCCCCCGTCCCGTCCCGGGCTCACCGGCGCGGCCCCGCAGAGCCGCCGCTGCTGGTGGTAGCGCAGCCCCGCAGCCCCGCACCGCCGCCCGCTCCGCTCCGCGCCGCTCCGCCGCCAACGGGGGGGGACGCGCCGCCCCCGCCCCCGCCGCCTTTATAGCCCCGGGCACGGCCCCGCCCCCCGCCCCGCCCCCCCCCGCGCCACCACCCCCCCGCCCCGCCCCGCCCCGGGGACACCCCGCTGGGGACACAAACACACCCCCCGGGGGGCACGAAACCCACCCCGGGAACCCACCGGGGGTCATAAATTCCCCCCGGGGGTCAACCCCCCCCCGGACACCTCCCGAGGACACGGACACCCCCCCCCGGGAACCTACCGAGGTCACAGACACCCCTCCCGAGGGTCACAAAACCCCCCGGGAACTCATCGTGGGTCCAAACACCCCCCGGGCTCCCACTGAGGGACACAAACGCTCCCCCCGGGAACATAAACTTGCCCTCCCGGGCACCCACCGAAGACACAGACCCCCCCCCCGGGCACGCAAACAGCCCCCCCCCAGACACCCCGACTCCCCGGGCACCCACCGGGGACACAGACAACCCCCCGGTTGGCACAAAAGGCCCCAACCCCTCCTGGGAACTCACCGAGGACAAAACACCCCCCCTCCCACAGCCCCTGGGGGTCCCTCACCCCTCCTCGGGCACCTCCCTCGCTGCACCGGCCCCCCCTCCGGTGCTGCTCTGGGGTCCCGGACCCCCCTGGGCACCCCCTGTGCTGCAGTCAGGGACAGGGGCACCCCCAGAATCCCCCCCTTGCACTGCACCCACAAACAAGGGCACCCCCTCGTCACCCCCTGCACTGCACCCGGTGACAGGGACACCCCTCAGACCCCCCCCTGCACTGAACTGGGGACAGGGACACCCCCAGACACCCCAACCCCCCCACCCGTGGGCACGGGGATGGGGGCACAGGGATGGTACCCCATCCTGCACCCCGGGACAAGGACACCCCTTGGGGACCCCCCTGCACCGGGGACAAGCACACGCCGGCTCCGTGTTTCTGAAAGTCAGGGCAGGAGGGTGGGGGCCCCTCTGAGTCTCCCCAGCCCACACATGTCACGAGTGGGGCCGTGCTCGGCCCGGCCTGCACCGGAGGGGGAGCAGAGCAGGGGGGTCACGTCCCTCTGTCCCCGCGGGCTGTGACGAGCACTGAGGGGGAGGGAGGGGGAGCAGGACCCCACTCAGGCTCGATGACCCCGTGGGAACCCCCCCACTCGTGTGTGTGTGTGACCGTCCCCCCCCGTGACGCCAGCGGGGGCTGAGAACTGACGCGCTCGTTGCGCGGAGCGGCGGCGCGGGGCCAATGGCTGCGGGCCCCGAGCGTGACTTCACCGCCCGGGCCGCGCATTGGCTGCGCCCGCCGCCCCCCCGGCACCGCGGACCCCCCCGACATCGGCACCGCGGACCCCCCCCACCGACATCGGCACCGCGGACCCCCCCGACATCGGCACCGCGGACCCCCCCACACCGACATCGGCACCACAGACCCCCCCTCACTGACACCGGCACCACAGACCCCCCCACACCGGCACCGGCACCCTCGGACCCCCCTCACCGACTGCTACCGGCAGGTCGGACCTTCCCCTCCCGCTGCCATCGGCACCCCGGACTCCCCCCCCTCAGCCCGTGCACACTCTCTGCACACCCCCCACCCCCGGCCCCCCCTCACTGCCATTGGCACCCCCAGACCCCCACCGAGACCCCCCTTGCTGCCATCAGCACCCCCAGCCCCTCCCCCTGCTTCCCCTCCCCCCCCGGCCCGCTCTGCCCCCTCCCCCCCCCCCCCCCGGTGCTCCCCCTCCCCCCTGGGGGGGGTATTTGGGGGGTGTTTGGGGGGGGATTGGCAGCGCCCCAAAGCCTGGTGGGGTCACCGTGGTGGGGCCCCGGCCACCCTCACACCCCCCCAGCCCCCCCTCCCCAAATCTGCCCGAATTCCTGCTTTTCCAGGCCCCGATGTCTCTCCCTCATCCCAACCCCGGGTGTCCCAGGCCTCTCTTTGTTAGTGCTGCTAATGAGGATTCCCCAATTAGCCCGGGCTGGGGGGGTGGTGCTGCCCCATCGCCGGGGGGGGGGTCTGTGGGGGCACAGGGGCTGTGCTGGGGCCCTCATAGGGTGTTCACACCATGGGATCACACGGAGGGGGTTACCAGTTGTGGATCCTGGTGAGAACTGGGACACGGGGGGGTTGCTGCAGTGTTTGCACCCCCCGTGGCCATCAGGAGGAGGGAGGGGGCTGGGGGGGCTCAAATACATCCAAATGCACGTTTCCCTGAATTAAAAAGTTGGGATGCCCTGTGCTGTGAGCTCAGGGGGGAACTGCCAGGGCCCCTCGGGCCTGGCGTGGCCCTGTGCACCCTCCGTGGGCTCGTGTGTCCCCACAGCAGGGGACAGCGGCACAGGGACCCGCTGTGGCCCCAAACCCGGGCGGTGCAGCCCCTAAAACCTCCCCGCAGTGAGGCTGGAGGAGAGTGGACGAGTTGGACCCCAGGGTTTTGGCTGGACCCTGTGGGGCTGCAGGGAGAGGGACAGAGCCCGTCCTAAGGGGGAACAGGAGGGATCCACCAGGAGGAACCTGTGCGGGCAAGCCCAGCACATGCTTGAGTGTGTGAGTGTGTGTGAGTGTGTGTGTGTGAGTGTGTGTGTGTGTGTGAGTGTGTGTGTGTGAGTGAGAGTGTGTGAGTGAGAGTGTGTGAGTGTGTGTCTGTGTGTGTGTGTGTGTGTGAGTGTGTGAGTGTGTGTGTGTGTGTGTGTGTGTGTGTGTGAGTGTGTGTGTGTGGTGTGTGTGTGTGTGTGAGTGTGAGTGTGTGTGTGTGTGTGAGTGTGTGTGTGTGTGAGTGTGTGTGAGTGTCTCTGTGTGTGTGTCTGTGTGTGTGTGTGTGTCTGTGTGTGTGTGTGTGTCTGTGTGTCTGTGTGTCTGTGTCTGTGTGTGTGTGTGTGTGTGTGAGTGTGAGTGTGTCTGTGTGTGTGCACGGACACGGGGGGGGGGGTTATGTGTCTGTGTGTGTGTGACCCTCCCCTCTCTGTGACACTGGCAGAGGCTGAGAACTGACACGCTCGTTGCGTGGAGTGGCAATGAGTGTATAGTGTGTGTAGTGAGTGTACAGTGTGTGTAGTGAGTGTACAGTGTGTGTAGTGGGTGTGCAGGGAGTGTGTAGTGAGTGTACAGTGTGTGTAGTGAGTGTACAGTGTGTGTAGTGGGTGTGCAGAATGTGTGCAGCAGGCACAGCACGAGCACGTGCCAGGCACACAGGGAACACGCCACGGTCACGCCAGGGCCCCATGGGGAGCTCAGGGCACACGTCAGGCACACACGGGGCACGCAGAGGGGGCAGTGACACGTGGAGGGCACGCAGAGCACCCGTGGGGGGCAGGACATGCGGCACAGCAGCAGGACCCACGACATTTGGGGTCTCCAGGAGCTGTCGGAGCCCGGCTGGGGGAAAACAGGAAAGTGAGCGGGGCCGTGCCGGAAGGAGCTATTGTTGGCCAGGGAGCAGAGGGAGCACAAGGGGCTGGAGGCCACCGTGGCCACCCTGTCACCCCTCTGTGCCCCGAGCCACGTGTGGCTGCCACTCCCCGTGGACGTGGGGCAGCCCCAGAGTGGACAGGCAGCAGCTCGGAGGGGTCCAGGCCTTCCCTCCCCCACCCCACTGCTCTGCTTCGGGAGGGAGAATAAATAAAGCTCCTCTTTCTGTGTCTTATTTCCCCGGCCCGAGGAGGGCCCAGCTTCCCGCCCCTGGAAGAGGGAGGATTTGGAGCCCTGGCTCTGTGTCAAATGAAAAAATCTTGCAAAAAACCCTGGAATTTCCTGCCGGGCAGAAACCTGGAGGTTTGACACTCCTGGAGCTGGGGTGGGATGGGAGGGAGGGAGGGCCAGGGGACACAGGGGACATGGGACACCCCCCTCCCCATGTCCAAGGCACACACAGGCACATGGCTGTGCCAGTGGGTCCCCAAACTCCCTCCTTGCCCTGCCACTGCCAGGGGGATTTGGGCAGTGCCACATCTGACCCTCCAGCCAGGCCTCCAGCACACCCCAAGTCCCAGTGTCCCCATCCTGCCACCGTGGGATTCTCCCCAGGGACGTGGCCCTGGTCCTTCCCTCCCCATCTGCTGCAGGGGAGGGCTCGGGGCAAACCCCCCTTGGCTTTGCCAGCTCCTGCTTTGCACCCACATCTGGGGGCTGTGCCCCCTCCCCAGGACCCCCCAGCAGAGCTGCCCAGCCCAGGGTCTCCAGGACAGTGGTGGGACATCCTGAGCGAGGAGGGGGGGCCACGTGGGGGGGGTAAGGGGGTGTTGGGCCTCAGTTTCCCAGAGGAGGTGTCGTGGGGTGAAGGAGCAGCCAGAACCCACAGCCGGAGCTGCAGGGAGGGGACAAACACACCCTGGGGTGGTTTCACCCCAAAAAACCTTTCAGGGGAGACACCAGTTCAGTGGGGAGCACCCCCCATCCCCCAGAGGGGACACGGCCAGTCCCGGCCCCACCACCCCACAGCAGCCAAAACCCTGGGGACAAGGACATGGAGACAGTGGGGCCGGGCACAGGGATGAGTTGGGAAGCTGGACAGAGTCACCCCAGGGAGGAAAACCCCTGCAGCCCCCAAAGCAAGGGGCGGGAGCTCCAGGAGCTCCAGGTTTGAGGTGTCTGGGGAGGAGGGCAGGGATGGGGCTCACGCTGTGCCACAGAGGGTGCCTTGGGTGACAGCAACAGATGGGAGAAGCTGCTACTTTTAAACACCCCGGTCTCTTTTCACCCCTCTCCATCCTCCCAGTTCCCTGGGAAGGGGTGAGATCCACAGGAGCAGCCCTGACCCACTGCAGCTGTGTCACCATGGGGTGACTGGGGACGTGCAGGCTGGCACATTCCTTAGAATCACGGATCCTAGAATATCCTCAGTGGGAAGGGACCCACAAGGTCCATCCAGTCCAACTCCTGATCCTGCACAGACACCACAACAATCCCACCCTGTCCCTCAGAGCGTTGTCCTTGAGCTCTGGCAGCCTTGGGGCCGTGCCCACTGCCCTGGGGAGCCTGGGCAGTGCCCCAGCACCCTCTGGGGGAAGAACCTTTCCCTGAGATCTGACCTAACCCTCCCCTGACTCAGCTGCAGGCTGTTTCCTCAGAGGAGCAGAAAAACCCAAACCACCAAAAAATTCCCATGGAAAGGGCACTGAAACCGCAGTGGGACCTGCACACCCCTGCTGGAGGATGTGGGTGCCGGTGGCTTTGTCCCAGCAGCCTCTGGGGATTTGTTCACCAGGACAAAAAGTGATCCTGGGGCACCTCTTGGTCAAGCTCTGGGCGAGGAGGGCCCCCTGTCCCTGCAGGGCTGGCACGGGATGGAGCAGCAGGTGCCCCTGGTATCAGTGTCACCTCCGAGCCGCGGGGACGGGACGTGCTCCCCGCTCCAGAGCTTTCCCAGAAGCATTCCAGGTCCTGCTCATGTTCCTGGCACAGGGCTGGGGAGCTGCTGGCCCCTGGCCTGGCTGTGCCATACAAGGGAGAGGGAGCACGTGCCGTGCTGGTGACTGTTCCTGTCCCAGGACTGGCTGTCACCTCTCCACGGAGTCCAAAAGCGGAGCAGGGAAAACCCAGGGCCCTGCCCTCTGCCCGGGAGGAGGCAGGTGGCACATCAGGGCTGGGGGGCTGCCAGAGACCCTGGGGAATGTAGGCCCAGGGGCATCAGCTGTCCAGGGAAAACGGGACAAACAAAAGGCACATTTCTGAGCGCTTGGAAAGCTGCCACTGCCTGTGCAGGGATGAGGGATGGAGGCACAGGCGGCCACGGGGCTGCCAAGGCCTGGGGGCTGTGGTGGCAGAGCTGTGCAGGGACACTCCTGTGCCACCCAGTGCCCCTGCTGCCCAGCTCCAAAAGTGTAGGGGATGAGGCAGGTACAGCAGTGGTTGTGTCACAGCACAGGCCCAGGAGTGCTCTGAGCAGGATCTGCTGCCCAGGGAGGTGGCAGTGGCTGGGGACATTCCCCTCCTTACCCAGCGGGATGTGGCTCCTGCACTGACCCCGTGGACACACAGACATGGGGCTGCAGATGCTGCAGGAGACCCCCAGCCCCTGCTCCCTCTTGGCTGGTTTCTGGGGGTCCATGGAATTGCTGCCCCCATTTGAAGCAAACCCTAATGGGACTCATGGATGTGCTCGACACCTGAACCAAACCAGGGGGGTTTGCTCTGGGTTCCGGAGGGAAAAGGGCAGAGCCAGGCCCAGCAGTCCCAGGGAACCCATGAAGGAGCAGAGTGACCCAGGGAGCATCGATCCATGTGAGCCTGGAACACTGATACTGGGATTAACACATGGATAGTGGGTGGCTTTTCCAAGGCTCATTTATCAAGGAACAAAGCAAGCCGTGGGTACGAGGAGCCTCCTACACCTTTCCCTTCATGTGCCATTGGACTGTGAGCCAATGGCATCATCCCATCACCAGCCAGTCCCAATGAGTGCCTTGGAGCTCTCCCTGCCTGGAAGCCCATGGTGACCTCCCGTGGAGCTGGGAACCCCCTCAAGGTCTGAGATTCCTTACCTGAGGCACAAATCCTCCCTATCACAAGGTGGAGAGACTCTTGTTCACAGCAGCTCCTCAGTGAGTTCCTGACATCACACTGAATGAACACCAAATCCATGCACTGAATTCCTTCAGATGTAAATTGTTGTCCCAGTTTGAGACTGAAACTGGACCTGGATGTCCCTAAGCTCCATCAGGAGTTAAGGAAGTGTGTGTGGGGGGGTCCTCTCTGAACCTCATCCTCAACAGAAGGGTCTCTCTTACCCTTTTATATCTTCGGTCCCTTTGTTAATCATTCCAGCTTGATTCCAACTCCATTTTCCTTAGTCTGGGAGGAAGTACCGGAGGAACCTCACCATCAAACTCTGATAAATCACACTTTCATAAATTCACATTAAAATAACTTTTGCTGAGAACGTTGATGGTGATTCTTTGAGTGACCCTAAATCACTCATCTGTGACAAACTGATGTCGTTGGCAGGATCCTAAATCGGGATTTGTGGCAGAACTGAGGCCCTAAAGCTCCTGAGCTCCTCGGCTTTTGGGGGCTGGAGGGGAGAGGCACAGGGTGAGCCATCGCTTCCTTGGAGCAGTGGGTGACCCTGTGCTGAGCCAAAGGGAAGGAGCATTTCCCTGGGAACATACGGCAGTGCAGCCCCCTCTGTGCCACGAGCCCGTGCCCGCTCCAGCTCCGGGGCAGGTGCCATCTGTGCTTTTTGGAAGGGCTCAGCCCCGCAGAGGGGAGGCTGCCTGAGCCCTGGGCATGGGACCCGCTCGAGCCAGGCCCTGCAGGGCAGGAGATCTGCAAATCTGTTCTCGGGGCTCTCAGCAAAACCTTCACGGTGCCTCTGCAACCCCGGAGCCTGGGGAGACTGATCCAAGTACCGAGGGGTCCTGCTCAGTCACAGCTCAACCTGCTCACCAGGCTGGGCTCAGCCCTGGGGGCTCATCTTGGGGGGCTCATTTTGGGGGGCTCAGCCCTGGGGGCTCAGCCCGGAGGGCTCACAGTCACCCACTCCCTGCAGTGACTCTCAGCTGTGGCTCAGGGGTGAGTAAACCCGAGATGAAAGCCCAGGGAGATGAAAGCAGGGCTGGGGCTGCTGAGGCAGAGGCAGAGCACGGCTGAGCTCCGACTGTGGCTCTGCAGACCTGTCTGGGCAACATCCTGCACCGCCGGGCGCTGTGGGGGCCGGGCTCAGCCGCAGCGGCACCGCCGGCCCGGCTGATCTCCCGGGAAGGTGCTTTCCCTCCTCCTCCTCCCTCGGCTGAGCTGGTCTCAAGTGGAGCTGGGCAGGTCTTTCCCCCCAAAGAGGGGGGCAGAGGAAGGCAGGGCCCCGCAGCCCCATGGAAGGGGCTCCGGACACGGCCCTCACAGCATTCCAGGCGGGGGGGAATGGGAAAGCTGAGGAACAGCCCAGGAGCTGCCCCAGCCCCGCTCACTGCCCACCCAGCCCCGCTCGGGTCCCTGCAGCTCTCCTGGTTTCACTGGGATAGAGCCAGCTTTCTCCCCAGGAGCCAGCACAGGGCCGTGTTCGGGATTTGGGGTTGGATAATGCTGATAACACCCCAGTGTTTTGGTGTAGCCGAGCAGTGCTCACCCTAAGCCAAGGACCTGGAGCGTCTCGTGCTCTGCCAGCAAGGAGGGGCACAAAAGCCGGGGGTGGCATGGCCAGAGGGATATTGCACACCAAGGAACAGCCAAGGAAGTGTGCTTCTCCAGCTGAGCTGCACCCACAGAACACTGGGAGAGGGGCTCGAGGGTGCTCAGGGGGGCCCAGCACCTCCACTGTGCAGGGGAACAGGCAGGAGCTGTTGCTGCAGGCAGGGAACAGGCAGGAGCTGTTGCTGCAGGCAGGGAACAGGCAGGAGCTGTTGCTGCAGGCAGGGAACAGGCAGGAGCTGTTGCTGCAGGCTGGACACAGGCAGGAGCCCAGGCTGGGGAGCCCCTCGCTCCCCTCCTGGCCAGGAGAATAACGTGCAGCCGCCAAAGGCAGAGTTTTCCTCGGTTCAGTCCCTCAGCCTCGATGGCTGTGCCCGTGGCAGCACAGAGCTCCTGGGCAGGCTGGAACTGCCCTCCCCTGCCCACTCGCACCCGAGCTCCAGAGCTGGAGAACAGCTCAACCCTGGGGTACAGGGACACTGCAGAGACAAGGCAGGACACCCCCGGGGTGTTGGTGGAGCTCCATGGCCCTGGGAACCAGCCCTGACCTGGCACCCCGAGAGCAGCAGGAACCCCCCAGGCCCAGAGCACCCAGGAGCTCCCCGGCACAGCTCCCAGGAGCCCAGCAGCCCGTGTTTGCTCTGCTGACAGGAGGGCTCTGACAAAGGGGCCATCACGTGTGCTGTGTAAATACAACATAATTTATTGGTTCCATTCCAGAGCACGAGGGGTGTTTGTACGACTGTCCCAGGAACAAGAGTCACGTATGTACAGACATTCCAGGGCACAGGAACACTTTGTGAGGAAGAAGTGGTGAGTGGTAGTTTGGTCACTGTTCGTAGAAACCTTTTCTCTCACTGGTCCCAACCGTAGGTAGACCCACCTACCTACTGGGGGCACTGGGAGCTCTCACTGTGCAAGCAGCAGGCAAGGCCAGGGGGGCTCTGGCTGCACACCAGAGATTTTGGTCCCACATGGGCACAGGGCTGGGGAAGAGGGAGAGGGCTCTGTACCCTAAAGGGAAGCAGGATGTGATCCCCGTGGCCAGCGAGGCCGGAGGACAAGTGGTCCTTCCTGGCAGGGTCAGCGTACCACGAGGTGAGGGGCAGGAATTCCCTGTCCCTCTGCTCAACTTCCATGAGGCACAGCTTGGCTGCCAGTGGATCCCTGTGGAGACGGTGCTGAGCTGCACCAGGGGAGTGTAGGAGCAGCTAAACAAGACAACAGTAGCCACCTGGATGATAAAAGAAGCAGAAAACAAAAATATTGTGGTTTTGAGCAAGCCAGAGCTGAGATTAGTGTGTGTGTGAAAGGAATCCCAAGGTCAGGCTGGAAAGCTGCTTGCAGCAGGGCTGTTCTCTGGCTGGGAGCAGTCACACGGGGGGTGTGGGGAGATAAGGAAACATCTGCCTGGCTGGAGAGCTTAGACCACAATATTTTTGCTTTAATATTTTCTTCTCCTTCTATCATCCAGGTGGCTGCTGTTGTCTTGTTCAGCTGCTCCTGCAGGGGAGCAGGGCAGATTCCAGCAGCGCTGACTCCATCAGCAGCAACCACAGGAGAAACCCCGCTCCCAGCTGGCCTGAAGGGAACACAGGCAGGGCCAAGCCTTGGGCACGGGGGCACAAAGCAGCTCTGCCCAAAACTGGACTCCTGGCCAGTGGAAGAGGTGCTGGGACCAAGGAGCACCCTGGGGACCGGGGTACACCAGCACTCCCTCCCCAGTCCCCAGGCAGCCTGCCTGCCTGCCTGCAGGGGCGGGACGGGTGTCCCGAGGGAAGTACCGCTTCCATGGCAGCACCAGCTCCACACACAGCTCTGCCTGCAGCAGCTGGCTCAGCTCACTCGGGGCACAGGGCAGGGGCAGCTCAGGGCAGCTCTTCCCCTCTCCAAGAGTGGACATTCCCATCAAATGGCCCTCAAAATATTTTCTCTTTTTTTTTTATAGAAATTACTATAAAAAACTAGTTAATCTAGAGCATCTTTAAAAAAATATTCCTGCAATATCACAGTTTTACATTGAAACTCATTAAAAATATATAATTTCTTTAAGAAAACGTCTCTGTTGTCCCCTTGAACCACGTCTCCAGGCCGGGAGCGGGGCTGAGCCCTCGGAGGAGGCGCCGAGGTGGGAGCAGGAAGGTCAGAGCTCAGTGGCACATCCGGGAGGTCATTTCCTTCTGCCAAAGGGACAGAGAAGGCAAGGGGGTGAAGGAGGATCCAGGTGAGGGGGTGGGTGGAAAAACCTGCCCTGTGTTTAGTTGGCAGTACCCTTCTCAGGTGTGGGGTGACACTGGTGCCCAGAGCTCCAGGATGGGCAGGGCTGTGCTCCCCCCACCATTCCCAGGACACCCCAGGGGGTTTATCCATCTGTGTCCAGATGGCTGACAGCGCTGGGATCACACAGGGCCCACAAATGAGGCAAACAGCTGCTGGGAGTGGGAGGAGGTGCTGGAGAACAACCGCCCCCAGCCCTGCCTGTCCTGACTCCCAGTTTGCTGGCAGCCAAAGTGCAGGGCCAACTGGTCCTGAATTTGGGCAACCAGGTTAGTAGAGACCATTAAGGTTGGAAAAGACCCCCAAGATCATCGAGTCCAACCATTCCCCCAGCACTGCTATGTCACCACTAACCCCTGTCCCCAAGGGCCACATCCACACATTTGTTGAACACTTCCAGGGATGGGGACTCCCCCACTGCCCTGGGCAGCCTGTTCAGTGCCTGACCACCCCTTCCTTGAAGGAATTTTCCCCAATATCCAATCTAAACCTCCCCTGGTACAGCTTGGGGTCATTCCCTCTCCTGTCCCTTGTTCCCTGGAAGCAGAGCCCGACCCCCCCCAGCTCCCCCCTCCTGTCAGGGGGTTGCAGAGCCAGAAGGTCCCCCCTGAGCCTCCTTTTCTCCAGGCTGAGCCCCCCCAGCTCCCTCAGCTGCTCCTGCCCCTTCCCCAGCTCCGTTCCCTTTCCTGGACATGCTCCAGCCCCTCAATGTCTTTCCTGGAGTGAGGAGCCCAGAACTGCCCCCAGGATTTGAGGTGGGGTCTCCTGAGAAGGTACCAGAGAGCTCTGTGCCTCCCCCAGCCCTGCCCTGCAGACCCCGAGAGCCCCCCCTGCACCCTGAGCCCACCCAGACACTCACCAGGGGCTCCAGCTCCTTGGTGTCTATGAGATTGAACTCTTTCACAAAGTAGTAAAAGTGCTTGTAGCAGGTGTTCACGTGGGCCTCCGAGCCCATCTGGGTGATCCTGTCAAAGTGGTGGATGTAGACGTGGACAAAGACCCGGAAGAGCCTGGAGAGGATCTTCTTCACCACTGGGAGGAAGTTCTTGGGGAAGGGAGTACCTGGGAGGGAGGAATGGCCATGAGAAACCTTCAGTCATGTTAAAACTGGTTCCTCAGAGCCAAAATAAATTGGTAAAACAGGCAGACTGAGACAAAAGGGCTTCTGTCCCTGGCAATGTCCATTGCTCTCTCCTTTTTGCTTCCCTTTAGATCAGATTTTTCACAAGCATGGATTTTTTAAGTGACAGAGAGCTGCACTGCTGAGATTGAAAGCAGAGCCCAGATTCCCAGCAACTGTTCCAGTCTGAGTTTTCCTCTACTCCTGTTTGACATATTTATACAAACAGTGCAAAACACTAGATATGACCAAGCAAATTCCTGAAGGAAAGGGTTGGTGTTGTTACCTCCACACAGTTATCCCTTATTTTGGTATGTCTCTGGTTAAAAATGAAAGCTTTTAAGGTGCTCTTTAAAGGTACCAGGTCTGTGTTTGGCCAGGCCCTGACAGCAGGGGGGTTTGGCCATCCAGCACCTCCGTGGGATATCAGGGTGTAAAGTCCACACGGGCTGTTCCTGGAGGAACGAGGATGAGTTAAACCCTTTCAGTGCTCTGACAGAGCTGCAACATTTCAGTCGGTGTCAAGGGGGAGGGATCTGGTTAAAAGCTGAGCTGAAAACAGTAACAACTGAAAAAAAAAAACCCAACCACAACCCTCGTGCTGCGGGAAGCTCATCCTGCCTCCAGAACAGAACCAACACCCCCGCTGTGCTCCCCAGGGTCCTGCACAGACAGAGCTGCTGGGCAGGGGGTTGGTGTCTCAAAACTGGCTGTTCACCGCCCCCCTCCCCCCTCTGCCCACCCCACACCAGCTGAAGCAGCATTTTGGCACAGAGGAGGAGCTCGAGTGGCAGACGTGCCCCAAGCAGTGGCCAACTGCATCCTGTCCCAGCTCCAGTGGGATAAACACCGGGACAGGAGGGAGGGAGCTCTGCTGCACCCTGTCTCCTGCATCCCCAGAGATGGAAGCTCTGCATGGGCTCAGTCATATTTACCTGACGCTTCAGGGAATGAATTCTCCCATCTGCAACACAAAATAAACAAAACCCAGCAATCTCTGTCCCGAATCCAGAGAAGCTGTGCCTGGATATGCAGACTGAGGCGTCTTAGGCCAAATTCTCCTTTCCATGGCCCTGGCAGGAGATGAAACATGGCCCCTCCCTCCAGGTCTGTGCCAGCATCCCACCCCTCTGGAGGGGCAGAGGCAGCCAAAGCAGCCTCTACCAACAAAGAGGCTGACTATGGCACGTGGCAGCATCACCAGGTGAGGCAGAGCCTGGATCCAGGCTGGCAGTGAGCTCCAGGAGAGCTGATCCACAGGAGCACGAGCCACCCCAGAGCTGCCTCCAAGCCTGTGCTCTAAGGGCAGCCTCCTGTCTGCACTGCCCGCCTTGGCTTTCCTCGGGGTATCCACGACTCCAAGTGGGATCTGGTGCAGCTCTGGGTACTTGAGCACTGCAGAGGAGCTGGGAAGAGCTGCTCTGAGCAGCACAGAAGGAAACAGCTCTGCAGCACCTCCTGAACAGAAACGGGACCCGAGGGCTCCAGGAGAAGGCTCTGCACCCACCTCCCTCCCCGCCAGCCACGCCTGGACCCCAACTCACCAACGTTAGTGGGGAAGATGTCCTCGTTGTTGATCTGCACCTCGATCCAGTCCATGAGCAGGTTCATGTACTGGGGGGCCGACAGGGCAGTGGGTTTGCGGTACTTGTGCTCGTCCTGCCACCGGTACTCGTACTTGGGCCCCCCCGACATGACGGGGCAGGACTGCTCGGTGCAATAGTCACTGATGGTGCCGTAGATCAGGTTGATGCGGTTGAAGAAGTCCACGACGTGCACGGCCACCCAGTCGTTCTGCTCCTCGCCCGGGGGCAGCTGCACGGCCACCTTCAGGTCCAGCCCGGCGTTGAGCGAGGCCTGGGCCTTCTTGTGCAGCTCGAACCGCTGCGTGCCCGGCTCGAACTTGCGCTTGGGCCGGAAGGTTTTGTCTTTGTTGAACACTTGCTTTAGAGCGTGGGACATCTTCCCTCCTCCTCTCGCTGTTCCAGGCCCGCAGCGGGGACAGCCGGAGGCCGCGCCGCTTCCCGGGGCACGGCTGGGGCGACTCTGATCTTCAGAGAAACCTCCCTCTGCTCATCTGGTCCTGATCTGCAACACAGCACAGAAGGGCAGCGATTAGGAGCAGCTCTCTCAACAGGAAACCTTGTCTAAATCCCATAGGAAGAGATCTGGGATGCCATCTGGGCCCTCGCCCCACATCTGAGGAGGAGGAGAGCTCACGCCAGCTTTCCTTCCTCCCCCTTCCCTTCCCTTTCCAGCCCAGCCCAGCTGGAGCAGAGCGGCTGTCGGGGTGACCTGGGCTGAACAGAGCCACTCCTGAGAGAACTCCTGACACATTCCCTGTGGGAATGAGAGAACAGGCCCCACAGCCACTCATCCCGACATCACTGCACCAAGAGCCCCAACCCCACAAAGAGAAACTTTGCTCAGCTCCTGCTCAGCTCCGATGCACCAAAACCCACGTGGGTTTCACCTGGATCCAACTTTTCACCTGTGCTTCCCCCCTCGGGAACAAACCTGCCCAAAAGGTCAGGTCATGCCAACCCACAGCACAGCTCAGAGCTGCTGCCAGACACCCTCCACCAGAGCAGCCACCAGGGCAGGCGGGGAAAGTGCGAGAGACAGGAACCACAGGGTGGAGGGCAACGAGAAGAAGAAGTCACAGCTCAGGCACCCGGAAAGCGAATCTCCTGAAATAACACCAGCCCTGAGAGCAGCCACAGCCTCTGCCGCAGGTGCACACAACCAGAAACACATTTTCACTTCAGTTTAGCTCACTTCAAGTTGAAAGCTGGAAGATGAGGGAAAGCTCATCTTCCTCTTCCAGTCTGTGGAGAAGAATCAGCTCCAAGGGTGAGACCCAAGTTAAGATCTGAAGGGATGCTGACGAGAAACACAGCTCTGTTTATCTGTAGCTAATTATACCTCCTTTGTTCCCGCATCCAGCCCCTTGCAGAATTTGTGTCAGGCTGTTCTTTGATGGAGGCTTAAGGCAGAAAGCTTTGTGTACCAAAAATATCGTTTTATATGTGCTGGACAGAAATGAATAAAGTAACAGAAATTAAGCTGATGCCTTAAATAGCACAAATAAGTTGTCATAATTTTATAGGCAAGCAAGCAAACAAACCCCTTTCCCCAAGCAGAATTTAGATTAGATTTATATGAAGCCACGGTGTTGTTCCAATAGGTAAACAGTGTCCTCAAATGTTGGGAAAAAGATCCCAAACTCAAGGTCACGACTGCCATCGCTGCAATCGAGCCTGTCCCTACCAGATGCCGCAGTGCTAATCAGCAGTTCTTCTCTGGAGAAAGATTAAAAAGCTTTAAGCCAAGGCCTCTTGTTTTCTTATTTAATTACAGCGAGGAAGAAACCCCAAACCACTCTGGTTCATCCCACTAAGAACAGGCTCGACATTTCCTGCGGGAATGGGCTCAGTGACCTCTTCCGTGCGGGAACAGGGAGATCCAAACTCCTGTCGCAACACGGGCCACAACGTGTGCTGGGAGAAACCAAAGTGTGGCTCAGTGAGATCCTCCCCGGGCTGGGAGGTGAATCCACGGCACACATCTCATCGTGGAATGGTTTGGGTTGGAAGGGACCTTAAAGACCATGCCACGGGCAGGGACACCTGCCATGGGCCGGGACGCCTCCCACCAGCCCAGGCTGCTCCAAGCCCCATCCAGCCCAGCCTTCCTGCTGCCAGAACAGCCCCCGCTGTGGGGGAGGCAAACCCAGCCCCCGGGCAGGCAGCGTGTCCCCGGGGCGTGTGAGCCAGCACGGCGCGGGGAGGAAGCTGAGCAGCAGTGCTGGGGCAGAGCTGTGTCACAGCCTGGCCACATCCTGCGGCGGGGCCGCGGCGGAAGCTCCGGGGGCTGCGCCCACCCCGTGCCACGGAACCGGCCCCACGGATCCAGCAATGTGGGCACCAGGTGCTGGGGGTGCAGCTGTTTTCTCCAGCAGCAAATCAGTCCCAGAGAAGCCCTTGCACGCGATGAGCTCCTTGGAGTGGGGATGGAGGAAAACACGTCCTCTGACACAACCAAGCTCGCAGGGCCGGGAGCACCGCCCTCCCCAGAGCACCAGCAGCGCCCCTGGAGCAGCACAACTCCATTCCTACTGCTTTTCACTCCATTCCTACTGCTTTTCACTCCATTCCTACTGCTTTTCACTCCATTCCTACTGCTTTTCACTCCATTCCTACTGCTTTTCACTCCATTCCTACTGCTTTTCACTCCATTCCTACTGCTTTTCACTCCATTCCTACTGCTTTTCACTCCATTCCTACTGCTTTTCACTCCATTCCTACTGCTTTTCACTCCATTCCTACTGCTTTTCACTCCATTCCTACTGCTTTTCACTCCATTCCTACTGCTTTTCACTCCATTCCTACTGCTTTTCACTAACTGCTTTTCTGTAGGATCTGCATTTGAGAGCAGGATGGAGAGACTTTTCATAGAATCCCACAATACCCTGAGCTGGAAGGGACCCACAAGGACCATCCAGTCCAACCCCTGGCCCTGCCCAGGACACCCCAACAATCCCCCCCTGTCCCTCAGAGCGTTGTCCAAACGCTCCTGGAGCTCTGGCAGCCTTGGGGCCGTGCCCACTGCCCTGGGGAGCCTGGGCAGTGCCCCAGCACCCTCTGGGGGAAGAACCTTTCCCTGAGATCCATCCCAACCCCCTGGCACAGCTCCAGCCCTTCCCTGGGTCCTGTCCCTGGTCCCAGAGCAGAGCTCAGTCCCTGCCCCTCCGCCTCCCCTCGGCAGGAGCTGCAGCCCCCGAGGAGTCTCCCCTCAGTCTCCTCTGCTCCAGCTGAACCAGCCGAGTGCCCTCAGCTGCTCCTCAGACCCTTCCCCTCCAGACCCTTCCCCAGCTCCGTGTCCCTCCTTTGGACACTCTCCCACAGCTTCAGATCCCTCTGACACTGTGGCCCCCAAACAGCCCCCAGGACTCGAGGTGAGGCCGCCCCAGGTCAGAGCAGGGTTGGACAATCCCCTCCCTGGCCCGGCCGGCGATGCTGGGCCTGATGCCCCCCAGGACAGGGTGGCCCTTTGGGCTGCCAGGACACTCTGCTGACTCTGATCCAACTGGCCACTGACCAGGACCCCCAGGGCCCTTCCCTCCAGCCTCTCATTCCCCAGTCTGTCCCTGCATCCAGGGACAGGGATCCAGGACCTGCCCTCGTTAAACACCCCAGGGCTGGGGATTGCCCAGCCCTCACACTTGTCAGGGTCTCTCTGCAGGGCAGAGTTTATTTGGTATGGAGGCAGTATTTGTCCTATAAACAAATTCCTGATCCTATGGACACATCATCCCTGAGAACTGGGGAGCTCGACACAGCAGCAATTGTCTCTCAGACGATTCAGCATCTGTGTGAAGCATTAGCAAAATGAGTGGCTGAGACTTCAAGCAGATGCAGCCTATTTAATTATGGTCTGTGACTGCAACTGAGCTAAAAGAAAGACTCAGCTCTAGGAAAAAAAAAACAAAACTAAAGAGGCACAGACACCAAAGCATCCCTGAGATTGCTTGGAGATGATATCATCTGTACAACACCTACTTCCACAGGCAGGAGTCACAGCCCGGGCAGCAGTGACACTGCCTCTGAACAAGAGGGAAAGGAAAGTTAGGGACAACTGGGAAATGGGACATGCAAAGCACCTGGATGGTATCAGCAAGCTTCAAAGGTGAGGGGAAAAACCACTCCCTGCTCCCAAACAAACCTCAGGTGATTTAGTTGACTCCTCCTTCCAGCCAGCCAAGATCACAGCCCCCGTCACCGGTGCTCCAGAGGACCTTGGCCATGGCTCCAGATCACAGAGCCCTGCAGGAAGCCCCTGCCAGGGGCTGTCTGGGCACAAACACACCCCCAGTTCCTCCCAGGGACACAGCAGGGGCAGCTCCTCCTATGCTGGATGTGCCTGCCCAGGGTGTTGAGATCTGGCCCTCCCTTCCCTTCCCAAAAATCCCTTTTCTCCCTGCTCCTGCAGCTCCAGGTTTGCTGACGGTGAGCCAGGGCTGTTGGCATTGCCCTGCCATTCCTCTTCCCCCACCAGGAATGGAGGATCACATGGAGCTGCCCTGCTCCAGCACCAGCTCTGGGCAGAGAAAGCCCAGGAAGCTGCTTCCCACCCCTTGGTCACTTTTACAGGCAGCTCAGAGCCTGGAAAAGGGAAGAGAGTTAACTCCTTCAAAACACCTAGAAATAGCCTCCACTTGTGTCCTGCTGGAGCCATCCCGAGGCTTTCCAGGAGCCAGCAGCATTCCTGCTGGATCCTGCCCTCCCCACAGAGGCAGACTGGCCCGAAAAGGACTTCAGGAGTCCCATGACTGCTCCGTCAGCGCCTGCCAAGCAACGCCCCTCGGCACCACGCAGGGGTTCAACAACAGCCAGGGAAAAGCAGCAAGCCAGGGAAAAAACAGCAAGCCGGGGGGAAAAAAGCAGCAAGGCAGCAGTCAGCAAGCTCCTACCTGCGTTCCTGGCCTCGGCAGGTCACCCCTGCAATCACTCAGCCCGTCTCTGGCCCTCTGTGAGCACTGGCAGGCACCGAGGCCGAGCTTCCTTTTTCAAAAGAGGGGGGAAAAAGATCCCCCTTTGATGGGCGGCCCCAATCCGGAGGCTCCGGCAGCTGGGGAGGGGTCAGACACGAGGCCACTTCCCTCCCCGTGACCCCAGCGCCGGGGCGGCCACATCCTGCTGCCTCCTGGTGCCGCGGCCCTGCAGCTCGGCCCAACGCGGCTCCCAAAATCAGGGACCTCTCCGGCTTCCTTTCCCGGGAGATGACACCAAGTCCAGCTGCTTTTAACTGCACCCGTGGGTGAGGAGCCTGTGACAGCCCCTGTGTCCCCACGGAGGAGAGGGGACGATCCCACTTCCGAGTCATTCCCAGTGTCCTTAACCCCGTTGCTCAGGCCAGAGTTCCCAACACAGGACACAAAAGCCCCCGGGTTTCACAAAGCAGCCCCAATATCTCGGGTGCACTGAGCATTTCAGTGAAAACTTCAGTTCACAGAGTGAGGCCAAGAAGAAAAGCAGCTCCAAACAGGCAGCTCGCACAGAACACCGGGGACGCACAGGCACGTTTTT